CCTGCTGGTTAGGGTTTTCCATATGTCCTCTTTTTCAAGGGTAGAAGCGTCATAGTGGTCCACAGTTAAAAGTAGAAGTCGCCAAATGTGTCCTCTTTTTTGCACTTCAAAATATGCCAACTCTAAGTTTGGATCCACTGACAGGAGAAAGAGGTTGAAAAACTGGGCGTCTTCTAGAATAAGTAGCACTTCATCAATAATTACAGTTTGTCACTATCCAGAGATTTTAGTATGAAGAGAACAAATGTTTTTAGATTTTTGGATATGCCCAATAAAAACAGAATGTATACGTACATTTGCTATGTATACGCACCCAAGAATGAGTCTGAAGCTCAGTTGAGTTTACTTCCAAAAACAAGGTTGAATTTTAAGTCTATCAATAGATAAAAATGGGATTTCATTTTAGTAGTCTGTTTTTTGTGTGCCATTTTCAAAACTAGAGCTCTGCACTGAATCAGGATTTTTGTGTGTGGAGCAGTGTTTTCTATGTAGACTCAGAGGTTGGCTTTGTTTACAGAAATTCACTATTGTGAATTTCAGTTTTCATGTGAAACAAGTATCTGGCAAAGATAAGGTTAAAATGTAAGGATATTTTTTGATAGAAAAAATAATTAATTTGAATCTCAGCAGTGCCATTCATACTTTTCTTCATAAAATTTTATCCGTAAATATTTGAGTATACAATTTCAAGGGGGTATCAGTGCTAGTAGTCTGTTGCAGCAAAAGCAACAAAGAGATGTGTGCTACCTCTAAAGGCTAACACATTTTATTATGACAAGCTTTTGTGTACTAGAATATCAGTCACAATATGATTAAGTGGACTCCAGTCCACAGAAACTTTTTTCAGAATTAATTTTGTCTTGAATATAGAGGGCTTTTTTCTCTTGACCCACTAGTAAACAGTAATACATACATTCCTGGACTGAAATAATTTAAGCAAAGACTTCTGGAAGATAGATGTCAGGATGCAGATTTGAACAGCAGAGGCCATCAACATGCGCAGTTGCTTGGTTTGTCTGTGTATTCTTTCTCTCCCCCTTTACTAATCTACTTACTGTATTTATAGGCTTCTCTCTTACAAAGTTCTCAGGGGATCTTACAGTAAAAATCAAATTAAATTACAATCAAACAGCAATAAAAAAAATGGCAAAAGGATAAACACAGCACAAAATTATTCAGAGAGCATAAATGGCTTAAAACTAGCAGATTAATAAAGCCAGAGAAAATAAAAAAGATCTTTTCCTGCTGCTGAAATGATACCCTGGAAGTAGCATCTGACAGACGTATCAATGGGAGAACATTCTATCATGAGCCACCACTGAAAAGGCCTCTGTCTTATACAGTGTTGGAAACTGGGATAGAAAAGCTAGGAGCCAAATGGCTCTTGTGACCTGGGTTTGGCAAGACTTTTTATATATTATTTTGATAAGCATGAACTAATACGCAATTCACATAAGTGACACATTGTTAATATCACATTTTTAACAGAAATTGTTTACACATTTTTAAATTGGTGTTTACCATAAAAATATTGGTACCATACTTCAGTTTTCAAAACACTCTACTCTTTATTGTTAAACTCCTTAACATATTGTCTACCCTTAGCATATACAGTGGTGCCCCGCAAGACGAATGCCTCGCAAGACGAAAAACTCGCTAGACGAAAGAGTTTTCTGTTTTTTGAGTCGTTCCGCAAGACGAATTTCCCTATGGGCTTGCTTCGCAAGACGAAACGTCTTGCGAGTTCTTGCGAGTTTGTTTCCTTTTTCTTAAAGCCGCTAAGCCGTTAATAGCCGCTAAGCCGCTAATAGCCGTGCTTCGCAAGACGAAAAAATTAATTTCGTCTTGCGAGGCACCACTGTACTTCTAGGCTTCAAAGCACATACATTTAATTGTTGAGTGTCAACCAGGTGTAAAAAATGGCATCCATACTTTTGGAGGTTCTCGCAAATGGAGACTCTTTAGGCGCAAATTGTGCCTGGCGCCCTGCTAATTTCGAAGCCTGCTCTTACAACCTTTTGCCACATCTTAGTTGGTGGAGGCATTCAGGGAAAAGCCTCCAGTGAAGATCTCATGTTCTCGATAGGGACCATGGTGAAAAGCCTGAAGGTGCTCAATTGCACTTTTACTGAACTGAAAAATAGCTTGCTTCTGGGGATGCCTTGCTACACAAATAGTTTTAGGTTGCTTTTGGTAGCTCACCAGGTAGTAAACATTTTATATTGTTATAACAAAACTGTTGTTTTTATACCTCTTAGAAGTCAGACTAAAGCTTACAATGTATAAAGGGTTGTTTTTAAAAAAATTTTTTTTTACAAGAATGAAACCTCATTCAACTTCTTATTTATTCTATAACCATTGTGAAATGTGGAGGGAGGGAAGTTACCTTGCAGAAGCATAAATCTCTGCACTGACAGGAATCTTTCTTAGCATTGCATTGGATACAAACCTAAAACTTCTATTTTCAATCAGCTTTCTTTTTTAGCAGATCAGATTACTTACACATTTGGCTGGTCTAATAAAGGTATTGCCCTACTGGAGTTTTTGGAACATTACTACATTTGGTTGTTTTTTATCACTGATCATGTTTGATTTTTCTTTCATTTTTTTGTGAACTAGCATTATATAGGCACTATATAAGTATCTCTTGTTTTGATCTTAACAGCGGCTGATACTGAAAATGCCGCTTCCGTTTTGGATGTTTTAAAATTAACATAAAGAATGGATGTTACAGAAACATCTAGGGATGTGGCCTTAAATTATTGAAATTTATACTAAACGGATCTCTCAGCAATAGTAAGTGCAACAAAAATTGAGTATGTAATAAGCAAAAACTTGTTAGCAGCTTTAATGAGTGTTGAATCGCAGCTAGAGGAAACTGCTGGTTATTTGCCACTGAAAAGATATTCATTTTAAATATAGTCATGTGACAAAGGTGCATACTAAGTAAGTTCTTAGTTCAGAAAACAATTTTTTTAGTTCTTGACATTTCACTACTCTAAATGGAAAACTCTATAGTGTTAATTTAGCTTGAGGCACTTTTACCTTTTACAAATAGGTTGGTTTTGTTAATGGAACATACATAATGCATGCTACTTAAGTTCAAAGAGAAGAGCCCATCTTTTTATAGTTAAACTTTAAAGGCTCTGGTAATGTTGAGTTTTAAAGTACTTGTACCTGTTGTTAAGAAGTGCTTAACTTTGTTTTATTCTTAATGCTACAACATCAAATGAAGTTTTCTGGGTAACATCTCTGGCAATTAGAAGTATGTAGTCTCATTTTTGGAGGTCATGGAAATACTTCATGTATGCTCAAAGGAGAAAAATTAATTTGACAAATGCTCTAGGGATTCTTAAGTGAACTATATATATTTCTCATGCCAAACTACTTCCGAAAACGAATACTACTTTATGTTCAAAATCTTTCTTGCATATTAATCACTGACTTGGAACTCTGCCCTCCTTATGTTAGCTGCTCCTGATTCAAGTTTGCAGTAGAAACTGGCATGTTTTCATAGATTTGAGACCTTTTTGACTTGTAGTTGCATGAATACCATAACACCACGGGAAATATTCTCATATAAACAAGACATCACAACTTTTTAATCCTTTGTGCCCTGATAACATGAAATTGAACTTTTAATCCAATTGGTAAAGGTAAAGGTACCCCTGCCTGTACGGGCCAGTCGTGTCCGACTCTAGGGTTGTGTGCCCATCTCACTTAAGAGGCTGGGGGCCAGCGCTGTCCGGAGACACTTCCGGGTCACATGGCCAGCGTGACAAAGCTGCTCTGGCGAGCCAGCAACAGCGCAGCACACGGAAACACCGTTTACCTTCCCGCTATAAAGCGGTACCTATTTATCTACTTGCACTTAAGGGTGCTTTCGAACTGCTAGGTGGGCAGGAGCTGGGACCGAAAGACGGGAGCTCACCCCGCTGCGGGGATTCGAACCGCCGACCATACGATCAGCAGGTCCTAGGCACTGAGGTTTTACCCACAGCACCACCCGCGTCCCATAATCCAATTGTTAGTGAGCACCAAATCACTAACAGTTTTAAGCCTAGTGGCCTTAGTCCATTGATAATGTGATTGAGTGCTGTGAGCCATCACATATTTAGTGGGGTAGGAGAGCTGAAAATATTGTCAATGTATTTCACATCTGGCAACCAATGCACCTTTTGATTTCAGATAAGTACATGGGTAGATGAGTCTGAAAAGCTTGGGACACAATTTTTTGGGGCCCTCTAGCTTCTGTGGTTGGTTCATTTACCAGAAGTAATGTATTTAGTGTTAACTCTGGAAGTGTATACTCGATTTTGACCAAACGAAGCCTCGTCTGCCCATGTACTTTCTGAAACTAAAGGGGTACATTGGTTACTAGATGTGTTTTTTTTTCTAGCTCTCCTACCCCACTAATTGAACCTTTCCTAGAATCAGCCTTTGAGGATTCTTCTATTGACACTCTCTTTCGTCTGACTACACTCTGCATAGACAGTCACCAAAGCTGCTATCAACCTCAAATCCCCCCACCCACACAAGCATAATTTAGAGCTCAAATTTCTTACAGATTATTGTGCTTTTGTTAGTGAATTACCTGCTTGAGTAGTGAATTACCTGTAACAACAACAGCTGCAACATTTTTTGCATACCAACTGCATTAAGCAGCATATGCGTAATCACCATATGCATGAGTTGGTCAGACAAAACAGTTACATGAAATGCATTGTTACTGTGATTCTCGTGTCTTTGACAGAGATGACACCTGCCCCTTTTCTTGATGGCAGGCCCTATCATTTCTGAGGTGTCTTCTCTCAACTTGACCAAGACCAATTGTCTGTGTTTCTAGAGTCCAGTTAGGATTTGATGAACTCAAGTCCCAGGTCTGTGAGGAAAGAGAGAGGTATTTGGGGATGTTCACTCCATTGTGGTTTCAGTTTCCAAGCAATTTCAAACAATGTAGGCATTTGAGCAGGCAATGTCTAATAGATTGGAGAAACGAACTTTGGTTGCTGTTTGATTATATATTTGGAAGCGTATCATTACAGGTATTCACACCACCTTTAGTTTCAGTATAATAAAGGATGATCTCAGACTTAGGTTTGTGGTCTGAGATTGCTGCTTTTTCATTTATTTTGTATAAATATATACCCCAACCTTCTGATACCTGTGCACCACTTAAAGTGGTGAACAACAATTAAAATCAGCCATAAAATACAGTTTTGAAGAAAGTGTCCGATTTTACAAAGCTGCTTAACCAAGTCATGCTGTTGATCTCTTTAGGTTGGTATTGTCTGCACAGATTCATAGTAGCTGTCCAGGGTTTCAGACAGGTATATTCCCCAGTCCTACTTGAAAATGCCGTGGTCTCAACCTGGGACCTTCTACATACAAAGCACTTAACCCACCATTGAGTAATGGTGTGCTGTTGAGACTTCAGGATTTTCAAGGAATGCCTTAGGCCTTCCTTCCTTCCTTCCTTCCTTCCTTCCTTCCTTCCTTCCTTCCTTCCTTCCTTTTTGATGTGCCAACCATAGTCTGGTTTCCTCTTAGCTAATCCCATGGACAATTAAAATGTTAGCAATTGTTACTTTCCATCCAGAACCCTGTAAATTTGGTGTTGGTATCTCAACCATTGTCCTGAGTTTTTCAACCACTGTCCATTCTTTAGTAAGAAAACTTATTTACTTACTAAAAACATTTAGGCCAATCTGAGGGTGGGGCACCTAATAATTAAACAATTTGAGAAGGGATAACCCCTCTCCTACAAATATACATCAGTAATTTTAAAACAGCAGAGTGGTTGTACTACATTGTTCAGCATCACAATCAACAAGTCACAATGACCTAAGAGACCAACCAGGTGTTGATCTGGTGCTGAAAAGAAAAGAAAATTAGCGACAGACATGCCTCGGGTTTAGAGCTGTTGGGCTGCTAGATTATAAAGATGACAGATGCAACTCTCAACTGCATATTTTGGAAAACTCTTACTGTAAACAGAGGGAAGGGGTCATCTAAAGGTTCTCGATTGAGAGCTGCCATTAAGCCTGGCCACCTGCTGAGGTGAGGACACAAGCACTTGCAGATGCAGTTAGGGTGAAAATGACCCCCAAAGCAAATCAGTAAGTATTGTTCAACAGACACTCAGCAAATCACAAAGATGAATTGGGGAGGAGGTGGGTGCACATAAAAGTTAGCTTTTGTGTGATGGGAAAAACAATGAAATGAATGTAAAGGGGTGCTGTAAACCTGTTGGTTCAACTGATTCCTGATGCCATATGTAGTGAGTGATCTAAAGCAGGGATGTCCAACAGGTTGATCGCTGGGTCCCTTTCCCTAGTGTTGGTAAACTAGAACCCAGGCCCGCCCCCTCGCCCCGCCCTCCATTGTTGCACGATCTGCCAAATGGAAGGTGGAGTTTACTCAGAGAGGCTGTTTGTCTCCTCAGTGATCTGTTGGTGAGTGGCTGTTCCCCTTTCTCCCTAAAAATGGCGAACAGCTTAGCCTTGAACTCCCCAAAAATGAGGCTTTTCTTCTCCCTTAAAAAGCTCAACAACTCTGCCCTGAACCACCTAAAAACGGGAGTAGTTCACCACCAGTTTTTAATTCTGTGAGTAGATTGCAGTCTCTTGGGAGTTGGCCACCCCTGATCTAAAGGAAAGTGAGTAATTTGTCTATTATATTATGAAAATACAGGGTTTTTTTCACTCTCTGTGCACTTTCATCACAAATCAACTTCATGAGCCATGCTCTGAAATTGGTTTTCTTAAACCAATCATATTTAATAAGATCACGGGCATTTTGGCCATGTTTGGACAACCTACAGTTAATTCAAGATGGAAGTGAAAGCTTTCAAGTTCTTCCTTGTGGCTGTTTGTGAGCCCAAGTTTGGTTCTCATAACACTAAGGCACAGATTACTGTTGTGTCTAAATAGGACTGATAGTATCATGCCTTCTGCCCATTCAAGAGCTACTTCATCCTTTAAATTAGAGCATTGTATGAGAAAAGTAAAACTAAACCACTGAAGCTCGTTCGTGTGATAGCAAATCATGGGTTAGTGTTGAATTTGAATTGGGCCCATGGTAGCATTAGCATAACATTCAGGTTTGGGTACTGCTGGGTGGTTCCCTGTGGTCTGTTTATATTTTGACCTTTTTAAATGTAGGCATGGATTCAAAGGGGTCCTTACAGAGGCAGCAGGTGTGTTATGTTCATGGAGGGGCTTTTGTACTGCTCATGTTAGAGCATTGTATGAGGACAACAACGGAAGCATGAGGACAATAACAGAACCTGCCTGTTATAGCACTGTATCAACTTTTTTGCTAGTACTTGCACAAGCATTTACATAGCTGCGCTAGTGGCTATTTTCATTCTGCTCATGGTTCTTTGGATCCAACCCATGGTGCTTTCTAATTGAATATGACAAACCTTTAACTGTAACTGCTAGTGGGCAACTAGCATATCATTTAATTTGGTTATGTGGCTAAATGAGCTAGCATTTGAATGAGGACACTGTTATCGTTTGTGTAACCATATTACACGGAAAAGGTTGCCATTATGAAATAGGTATTCAGTGAATATTAACCTACTTGTAATAAATACAATTAATAATGTACATAAAAGAATAAAATTAAGTGCATTTTGTTACAAAGAATTCTTAATGAACAGAAAGTGGGCAGCATAGATATGACAGGAAGGTTGAATCTAATCTGAATTACGAAGTGACCTAGGAAGTTTGCTCAGAGGGGATTACAGAATAATTATGTTAATATGCAATTATCACCTCATTTCTTCTGTAGTAACCTCAAGATGTAGTGTAGTAAGGGTGTTATAGCAAGTGCTGATAGTTTGCAAAAATACTGATGTTTGAGATTTCCGAGACAATGAGACTAGCCTGAGGCGGTTAAGTGATGATCTGTCATCTTGAAGACAGATCTGACCTTTGTGCTTCATTTCTTAAAGCTTACATTATATGGCTACAGGCAGCTATAGCTGCAGAACTCATTAAGGGTTCTCCCCCCCCCCAAATTGAAATGTTTATGCAAAAAACAAGGATATTTTAGAGAAGTTTGTTTTTAGGTTTTGAAAAGGAGAAAATAGAGAAATGGTTATTCAAGCATTGCAACACTGAGTAGTGTTACATTTATAGAACTCAGAGGAAAATCTAGGTTTGTAGTTGGAGCTACCTTCTCTTTAGGATTTTGAATAGAAAGCTAGCACATATTCAGCACATCTCAGGTGTTACAGTTACTCTTAATGGTTGTCCTATCGATGTTCAAAGTGCAAAAGAACCCCAGTTGATGGAAGGCTCTCAGATCCAATAGAAGCTTCCATGAGTGGAACTTGGATTTTTGCTGCTCCCCCCCTTTCCTTTGCAGCCCCCCCATATGCTCCAGATCGGGGGTCAGCAAACTTTTTCAGCAGGGGTCCGGTCAACTGTCCCTCAGACCTTGTGGGGGGCCGGACTATATTTTGAAGGGGAAAAAAGAAAAAATTCCTATGCCCCACAAATAACCTAGAGATGCATTTTAAATAAAAGCACACATTCTACTCATGTAAAAACACCAGGCAATCCCCACAAATAACCCAGAGATGCATTTTAAATAAAAGGACACTTTCTACTCATGTTAAAACACGTTGATTCCCAGACCATCCGCGGGCCAGATTTAGAAGGCGATTGGGCCGGATCTGGCCCCCAGGCCTTAGTTTGCCTACCCCTGCTCCAGATCATTGAGGGGACCCTTTGAACGGCATGGGAGGTGATGGAAGAGGCCGCAGGAGGGAAGGGGGAATTGGCGAGCCCTCCTTCTGCTGGATTGGAGAACCTTTTGCCAATGAAGGTGGACACAGCTGAGGAGTGTAGGCTGAAAGCATGCTTTACTCAAATAAATCTTTACTAGATGTATTTCCCTCCAGGCTGAAAATAATATTGAAATGTGTTGATGTGACAATTTGAGGCATTTGCTGATGACCTGAATGGGTTGGGTATTATCCCTCATAACTTGACAGAGGCAGAAGAGCAAAGAACTCTGGGAGGCAGGCCCTCCAATTTCTCTCTCTTGCCTGATGGATCAGATCCGTTTCCCCCATTTCTGGCTGACCTTTCTTTAAGCTTAAGTTCTTCTACTTTCAAATATTCTTTTTTACTGATTGCTTCTGGTGCTTTCCGGTTCCCTCTTATTCCCCTTTCACTTTCCTACTGTATTTTATTTCTGACTTTACTTGTGTTTTCCTTTCCTCCGCTGAGATAAACAAAAAACATTTTTTAACATGGTGCTTTGTCACATAAGATTTTAGCCAAAGTGTATTGTAAATTTCTAATGGATTCAGTTGTTGCTTTTTAAGATAAAACGTTTGCTAAGGAAAGATAAGCATCTGTCAGTTCTACTATTTTGAAAAACAAGCAAGTTGTAGCTTTATAAAAGGAGTTTGGTGGATTGTTTTTTTAATGCAATCTTACCAACATGAAGCCACATTTCACACAACAGGACTTACTTCGATACATAGGGTTCAATAGCATACTACCTAATTCCTGGCTTTCGTGAAATGTCTGCATAACTTAACTTCTTTATTTCTTCTATGTAGTAACAGAATCTTGTTTCGGCTGGCATCTCATTATTTCTTATTTTCTCAAACAGAGTTTTTCCACACAAATATTCTTTATTAATCTTAATTTCATATTGAACAACAGCTTGCAATAATACAGAGTGAACATTTAAAAGTGAATCCATCAATCTGTATTACATTATTCTCTTGCTCCACAAATTGTCAAAAAATATTACTGTTTAGTATTGGGGGGTTTTTAGAGTTAAAATTAAACTAAAGGCACCCTGGGCCAAGAAGCCAAATTCATAATTTGTGTGGATTTAAAAGGGCAGTTTGTGACTTTTACAATCACAATTTTAATTTCGTACCAAAGTCTGTACTGCAAACTATTTGACATCAGAAGTGCCCTGAAAAAGTCACAAACACCATGAAGTCCATGATGTCAATTCCACAATCTATGCTTGCCCTCTCAACCATTTAGGTTGAATGACTATGAACTGAACTATCATGATTTATATGGACCGCAGATTGGATGTGCAGTAAGCCTGCAACTTAATTTGGGGTTACATTCTGGGGATCCCGTCTAAAGCCAAAATCCCATATCGTCCAAACACTTTGGGTTAATTGGTGGCTGGGATTGTCAAAATGTTTTAGCCTGGACACCTACATCATTCCGCCGCCTTTTATTTTTATAGAATTTTTTTGGCAAGCACGTAAAGCTGAATGCGCACAAGTTAAATGCATGTCAGTTGTGGGCTTACTGTACTGCATCTGATCCAGCACTGACTTGGTTTTGGCACATGCGGAAACATCTCTATTAAAAAAAACTTCTGGCTTCTTTTGACAGATAAAATCTGTTTTGATATTAAAATCTTTCTGTGCCTACAAGTTGGTTTAAATTAAAAATCTGAGTCAGTTGAAAAGGCCTCATTGCTTGTGAACAAAATTCTATGTGGTTTAGACAAAAGGGTTATGTTTAGTTATTAACCTCAGACAATATTGTCTATAACAGTCATACTTTTTATATGTATAAGGAGAAACAACATTTCATGCAGACTTGCTTCAGGTTCTCTTGAAACCTTTCTGATAATGATAATTGCAGTCTCCAAGCAAATATGATATTCTTAGTTTACCACCCTGCTGTTCAGGGGGTACCAACAAAGTTGCTTTAAATGGGAAGCGTCTGTTCTTTCTCTGAACCCCTAACACCAGAACAGATGGATAGAACATGAAACGTGAAAGGTTTTACCTCAGAGGTGGCAACAGTGAAGCCACTCATTAACACTGAATTTACCACTTCGTTAGCAACGTTGCTTCCTGTTGAGAAAAGCTAATATAGACTCTCAAATTGACTGAGCATACATTTGTCTACTTCTGTGAGTGTAATAAGTTGGAGAAAATACAAATCTTTCTACTGCATAAACATCACCAAACATCTAAAACTTAATTCCTGTACTTAAGTTTTCAAGATACCTTGGACTTTTGCTTTCATTTCTCTAACATTTTATACTGCGTTTTAATAGTACTTTCATGCCCATTTTTAACCTTTGTCTATGTGATGTTGTAGTTCCTACTGGGTGCTGCATTATCACCATTTTAGGGTGATAACATTTAGTTCAATTTATTAGAGGAGTCTACTTTTATTCATTTAGAAACCTGTTAATATACAAATGCAATGAATTTTAAAAGCAAAGTTATTAAAACTTATGTATAGCTTTATAAAGCTTAATGAAGACTAGAGTGTAGATAAATTTCAAGATATTTCAGTGCAAGATCCTTAAATATTTGACTTTGTTTTCAGCCTCTCATCTGTATGAAAACATTGATTATTCAATACTTAAATAAATTGAAAGCATTGGCCTGAATTTAATCAAATGCAAGACTGCTAAGTGCTATAACAATATAGCAACCTTTAAATGTTTTTGTATTTGGAAAATGAGTTAAGATGATTCTGCCAACCATAAATGATTTGTCTGTTAAGTAACTGAGAAACTTTAACTTTAGTAGTGTTAAAGTATTGCTTTATTGTGCGATAATTGTTGTGCCAATTTCATTGGTTAGAAAGCAGGTTAGGAGCAAGACAATTTATTGTTTAGACTCCTTGCTGACTTGTCTCACTTAAAATGTATTGAGATATCTGTAACTATTATCTTGGAAGATTTTATCTAAAAATGTCTAAGAATTAAGTCACAATTGTTGAGAACCAGAGAGCCATGTCAGGCAAGGATGACACTTGCATGTAGCAGGGTGAAGCGATGTTCCTTATGCAGCACCATGAGGAAAGGATAGGTGCAGGAATTGGTATCTAAATGATGTAGCAAGACTTTTAAGAATCTGTAGGCCACAGTGGGGAATATGGAATAAGGTGGAGTGATATTAATTGGAGTAGGAGCTGAGAAATCAGTGTTAAAATCAGCCATGAAACTCACTGTATGACCATGTGCCAGTCACTGTCACTCACTCTGATCTGCTTCACAGGGTTGTTGTGAGGATAACATGCAGAAAAGGAGACTAATGAATGTCACATTGAGCTCCTTGGAAGAAGGTGGAATGGATACTGATAAATAAGGAACAGCCAAAATTAAAAGTTCAGGCAGCTTGTCTCTCGTTTTCAGTTGGGGGCAGGTTTGGAATCATGAAAAAGCCTAACTTAAAAATCAAATTAGGGACAGAATCAGAATATTCAGCCCCACCCCCAAACACTGGACTTCACATGTAGGTCCTCAGCAAATCCAGTCCGTGCCTGTAGGTGCTGGATGTGTACTGAAACACTAAACCATACACATAAAGATTTCAACTATATTTATACTTAAAACATGATAGAGAAATTGGTTTTTATCAGGCTGAAAACAAAAAAGTTGAAATTCTGTTTTCTTTGATCTGTCTCTGATTTAGTGGCGGGAATAAAAATTTAGGCTTACTTAGAGTAGACCCATTGAAATCAACGGGGCCATGATATAAGTTTGTAGTAACCAAGAGTTTTGTGGCATGCTAAAAGATTGTTATGGCATAAGTCACAATGTAGTTTGGCAGGTCCGCTGTATGTCTGGGTCTAACCTAATATGTTTTTCTGCTTTCCTTTAGGAGACTTGTAAAAATTGTTGCTTTTTCAGTATTCATTAGAAGTAACATTTATAACTTTTCCATGACTCTTGAGACGTGGGTTTTTAAATTTGGCATAATTTCCCCTGAAATTAGCTTCTTTAATTAATAGTGTGTGTGTTATATATTAGTGGTCTTACAGTGAATGGCCAGCTTAGTAATGAAAATGCTTTTTAACTGATCCAGATTTAAACATAAAAATGTTTGAAAATATTATAAAAACTGCCTGTCTCAGATACATAGAGAAAATTTCTAATAAGGATTTCTTTTCTTTTATTCTAGCATAAATGTGCTTAATGGGCAGAGCAGACCAGCAGTATGGATGAAACGGAGATCGATACTCAGATCATTGGTGCTAAAGGACTGCTAGATGACAGCAGCTTCATTTCTGAGAAGCAGAGCAGCATTCTCAAATCACAAGAGAGTGAAACATCATTTCAGAAAAATACGTTAACTCTGCCTGAAGAGCTATCAAGGGACAAGTCTGAAAAAGCCTTAAGCGGAGGCCAAACGTCTCTATTTATACACTCTAGTGCTCCTACTGTTTCAAGTGAAAACTTTCTTCTGCCTACAGGAACTGCTGTTAATGGACCAGTTTCACACTCCACTTCCATTATGAAGAAAGGCAGCATTTCATTAACCACTGCACAAACTGTGGGCCATCAAGCAGATTCTTGCTCCGCTGGGACGGTGGCACATGATCACCAACTTCCCACAAAGACTTCAACCCAAAATTCAAGTCCACACCAACATTTGTTTTTGTTACCTGAAGCAGCTCATGCTAAGAACCTGACACATTCCATAAAAAATCTACCTCCCTCTGCTTCAGTTGCTTGTGACACACAGCCATCTATACGAAAAAGCATAAAACCAGATAGCACTTTAGTAAGCCAAGTAGACATGTGTGAGGATAGCAAAAGTTCGCTAGAAAAAGATGGCGGTAGAAAATCACTAACAGCCACATCCTCAGGTACAGGTGACTTCAGAACTGAAAGTGATGCAAACTGGGACCCACAGAAAGAGTTTATAGAATTTCTCATGACAAATGAAGAACCTGTAGAGAAGTCACCAGTCCAGCCTAAAGTGGGTGTACCAAAAAGGAGGAAAAGAAAGATGGATGTTAGCAAAATCACACGTTACACTGAGGACTGTTTTAATGAATCAAATTATACTCATGACAATTCAGAATCGTTAGATACTGAGTTTTTGGAGCAGAGTGAGACTTTACAAGTGATAGAATCTCATAAATTTTCTTTAGCAAAAGTGAAGCCTGAATCAACAGATGAGGAATTGGAAGTTGTAGATGCCATTCAACAATTGATTTATAACCCAAGTAATAAATGTGCAGGTGGTACTTCTCCTATTCACACTAGCACTTTTCTTTCTAATACTCTGTTAAACAAATGTGAACATGATGAATTGGAACCACCAACTAATTTCAGTACTGATGAGCCTTCATTTTATCCCTGTACAAAGTGCAATGTGAATTTTAGGGAAAAGAAGCACCTGCACAGGCACATGATGTATCACTTGGATGGCAATAGCCACTTTCGCCATTTAAATGTTCCAAGGCCTTATGCATGTAGGGAATGTGGTCGGACCTTTCGAGACCGCAATTCCCTTCTTAAACATATGATAATTCACCAGGAAAGAAGACAGAAACTGATGGAGGAAATTCGTGAATTGAAAGAGCTTCAGGACGAGGGTAGGAGTGCACGGTTACAGTGTCCACAATGTGTATTTGGTACCAATTGTCCCAAAACCTTTGTGCAGCATGCTAAAACCCATGAGAAGGACAAAAGGTACTACTGCTGTGAAGAATGTAACTTTATGGCAGTGACAGAGAGTGAACTTGAATGTCATCGAGGGATTGCTCATGGGGCAGTGGTGAAATGTTCAATGATCACTGCAGATATAGCTCAGAGAAAATCACAGAAAAAGGCATTAGCGAAAGATTCCTTCATGGAATCGTCCAAAAAATCAGCTGACTATATGTGCAAAATGTGTCCATTCACTACATCAGCCAGAAGCATTTTGAAAAAACACATGGAATACCTGCATCCAACATCGTGCATAGACCCTTTTGGTAGCCGACTTAGACTAGAAAAAAGAAAAGGTCATATTATAGAAGACCCTTTAGATTTTGGCAGCAGGACTAAACATTTCATCAAACAATCATCTGCCTTTCCAAAGAACTCTGTTTTAAAACAAGATATAAAAAGACCATTTGGCTCTGCATTCCAGTCCAGTAACTTTGCAAAACTTCACAAGAGACCCCCCAGGATACAGAAGGCTCGGAAAAGCGTTGCACAGTCAGCTGTAAGTGTGTATGGTCATAGCTCTACAGACAAGCCTGTTTTGAATAGAAATAGCACTGGCCAAAAACCTAAATATTTGCATCATTCAGGAAAGCAAAAGACTAGCGTCAGAGCTAGCAATAATTATTTATATAGATACAAACATGAAAACAATAGGATTAAAAAATCTAGCAGCCCTTATCTTTTACACTTAAAAAGGGAAGCTGCAAGATCTGTCAGGTCCTTACCTTTATTATCTTCAAATAATTCTCATAGATTTATTATGGATTCTCTTAACTATGATGCAAAAAGACCAGGAGTCTATAAAGATAAGCATGTAACTGTAAAAAGGTTGGTTAAAAGATCCAAAAGTGAAGGCTCTGTAAAAGGAGATGATTTGGACAGTTATCCAGACTTTCTACATAAAATGACTGTTGTTGTTTTGCAGAAACTTGCTGGGAAAAAAGACAGCTATGAAACGGAGGATGAAAGTTCATGGGATAATGTTGAACTGTGTGATTACACTACACGGTCTGTGGAGGATGACTCTTACAGTGATATTAATCAGGAGCATGTAAACCTGTTCCCTTTATTTAAAGGTAAAATGGAAGAAGAAACTGGTGGTAAATCCTCTCTTAGATATGAGCAAAATGACGGATTTTATTTTGAGTATTATGAAGATGGCGAAGGTAGCAATTACCTGCATGATTTTCAAGATCCTCATAATTTAGAAAACATAGGCACAACATTGCCAAAGCATAACTCAGTTTTCCATTGGACTGACTTATCGCTTGAGAAAAAAAACTGTCCATATTGTCCAGCAACTTTTGAAACAGGTGTTGGATTGTCTAATCATGTCCGTGGGCATCTTCACAGAGCTGGGTTAAGTTATGAAGCCCGTCATGTTGTCTCGCCTGAGCAGATAGCAACAAGCGACAAAATGCAGCATTTCAAAAGAACTGTAACAGGAACTCCTGTTAAACGCGTTAGAAAAGGTAAGATTTTTCTTTCCTTATCCTATTTAGGGGGAGCGGGGTGTATAATAATGTGGTTGCAGGTCTGGCTATGCTACGTCCTGCCTCTCATAATAGCTTTTATTTCCATCCATGGTAGAAACTTTTAATGTCTACGTTTTAAGCAAGCTGGGTCCTTAGTGTCTGACAAATTGATAAATGGATGATTTTTCTTTTTAGCTATTGAGAAATCAGAAAGTTCTTCAGAACACACATGCCAACTCTGTGGAGGTTGGTTTGACACTAAAATAGGATTATCTAATCATGTTCGAGGACACCTGAAAAGGCTTGGTAAAACCAAATGGGATGCACACAAATCTCCAATCTGTGTTCTGAATGAGATGATGCAAAATGAAGAAAAATATGAAAAAATCCTGAAGGCATTGAACAGTCGGCGTATTATTCCCAGACCATTTGTCGCTCAGAAACTTTCATCAAATGAGTTTTTATCTCAAAATGTTATACCTCTTGAAGCATACCGCAATGGCCTAAAGACTGAAGATATATCTGTATCTGCATCAGAGGAAGAAGGGCTGAGTTTCCTCAATGAATGTGATGAAGCAAAATCAGTACTACATGATGAAAAAAAAAACCAGTCAGTCACACTGATAGAACTTTTGAAAAATAAGAGGTTAGGAGAAGAAAGAAACCCTGATACCTCTCCTCAAAAGATCCATAATCAGACTGCAAGAAAGAGGTTTGTTCAAAAATGTGTTCTTCCATTAGATGAAGACAGTCCTTTGATGTATCAGCCACAAAAAATGGACTTGACTATGCAGTCAGGTAAGAGGCTTGTTACAATTTTAATAACTTGGAAATACATTACAAGATAAATCCCCCCCCGCCACCCCAATATTCTAAAAGTAATTATTTTCTTTGAGACTGTTTTTCCCCTTTGCAAGGTTCTAGACAGAGAAATATTAATGAAATTAGTTTTAACGTTAAAATTGCCTTAGTTTTCTGCATACAAATTGAGTTCTGAAAAGAGAGTAGCTTTTGCTCTGTAATGGCTCTTGAAGATGCATATAAAGAGGAAATGAGAACGTCTACTTAGCAAAATATGGTATCACTTAAATAGCAGACACATCTGGGAGAGAGCCCCTTGATCTTTCTTAGGCTGTAAGTGTTGCAGATATATAATCGGTTCATAGCGTTAGGATTGTTCTTTTATCTGGTGTAAGTGAATGCACGACTTACTGGTTAACCGGGTGATGTGTTGTCTGATCTATGCCTAGATTTTATACCCTGTCAGAGTAACTGTGATGGCCATACCCCCTGAACACAGCTGTTGCCGTCAACACAAAATCCTTAAAAGTTTTAGATACATCTCTTAGAAATCGTGCCAACAATTTTATTCCTTTAGACTACTTCCCCCCCTATTCTAGCATAGTTTTAGAATGCTCTTCTGAAAGGTGTCTTTCAGTCTTGGCTGTCATGGCTCCGGAAAGCTCTGCTCATCTCCTCCAACACCTCTGCACAGACCTTATTGCAGCTATCTTTTCTCAGTCTAGTTTGAGTGAGCGATTTATGTAAACTGCTCTGCGATGAAAGTGCTTGATCTTGTCTTATACCCTTTTATCGTTTTGCTGGTACTTAAAATTATTACAGTGTGGTTGATAAAAGTCTTGTTCACTGAGCATTACTTGATTTGCAGACCCATGTGATCGACCTGTTGCTGTGTAGTACCGCTATGGACTGTAGGTAAAGAACTGAATGTTAATATTGCCATATAAAAACCCTGGATAAGTGAGGGTTTTTTTCATGGGGAAGCATTCATATATTTGAATCTATCTGCAGTCTGAAGTTCCTTAATAGGGCAACAGGTACAGCACATGAGGCCACTAATTCTGTCTTCTACTTTTGTCTGGTTAGGCACTCTGTCTTCACACCAAATTTTGCCTTAGGTGACCATGGTCATAGATCATGGGGACTGAAAATATCAGTTAACTATATATATAGAGAGAGAGGGAGAGAGAGAGAGAGAGAAACTTTAAGATCGGAGCTCCCCCAATAAAGTTTATTTCTTGGACAAGCTTCACATAAACTTGGAAGATGATGTTCAACTACAGCTTGTTAAATTTGGAAGTAATGTGCTACTTAATGTTAGGTAGCCTGCCTTCTAGGTTTCACTAAAAAAAGCTGCTTGCATAATACTAATAGTTACATGAATAGAGCCCTTAAGCTAATTGTGGTTAACATAGCATTTGACAATTAACTCACTCTCCTACTTCAGTTATTTAAACTTTTATAATTTTAAGTCTGGTTTTTTTTAATATTTTCTCAAGTATATTATGAAACCCAGTTTTAGTGTATATTGCAGTAAATCTAAACTTTGGTTTTTTCATGTGTTGGAAGCAGCCCAGAGTGGCAGGGGCAACCTAGCCCAGATGGGTGGCATATAAATGTTCTTCTTATTATTATTACCTGACAGGATTCTTGTTTTGATAAAAAAGCTTTCAAATAAATGAAAAACCTTTTCCCAATTTGTTGAATGTGTTGTCTAAGACAATATATTTCTGAGGACAGTGAAAATTTTGTGCCTCTATGAAAGTAAAGTTGAGAAGAAACCATTTTTATTGGTTTCTTTGTCTGAAACAGTGTAGTATGGTTTGACTGTGTGTTCTTTCCTGCGATGTTTGTTGATCATTTATTTAGCACAAAGATTTTAGCAAAAACTACAAATCATTAACTTTCATTATTGATTGCGCATTCAGAGTAATGAAGATAAAATGCACCAAATAAAATGTTTTGTCTAACAGCTGTGCAGTGGTGTGTTTTACCACCTTTTCCTCCCAGCCTTCATCAGCAACCTAATTTAGTATTGAGCCTTTTACAGTCTTGTGGGTAAAACACTTTAATTACCACTTTGTCAACTAGACTTTATAATTCTCTTTATTGGGAACATTAGAAGCCTTGAAACTTCTTAACAAAACTGTGCTATTCAAATTGCAGAATTGTATTTTGGGTTTAGGAAATAATCTGTGCAATGTGAAGATAAGCAGGAAAGTGATAATTCAAAGAAGCTTAGGAATTCAAATCATGCCTTCCATTTTTTTTGTACAAAATAGCATGTTTCATGCTAAATGTCACATGCAGAAGTAATCGCCATGAGCTTGGCTCTTTCTAGTATATGAAATAATTACGTTGATGATGTAGTGAACCTGCGTAAAAGCAACTTTTAATACAGAATTTTCCAAAACGCTTTTGAGAGTTTCACTTTTAAAGAGAGAACTGGATTATAGTTTTCTTTTGAATGATAGGTATGCCTGTGAAGCTTAGAACGTGTGTGCATTGCAATACGGCGTTTACAAGTGCTGTTAGCCTGTCCAACCATTTGCGCGCTTATGCACGAAAGAAGAGTGCTGGACTTTTGACTGGGACAGGTATGTTTGTTACAGATGTAAAATCAAGTCTGTCTGTATACGTTTTCCTCATCAGACTTGACAGATTCATATGCTAATTCAGTTGACATTTAAAATTTTCTGAAACAGAAGTTGAATTTGAGAAACAGAACTTTTAGCAACTTGTAAACTTACGTTGCTAATGTCCATTTTTTTCCCATGCCTGGTTTTTATTTTCATTGGTTCATTTTAGATCCAGCATTATTTTCATGTGTACAAACAGTTGAGAGCGGAATGCCTTTTTGTTTTCTGGCTAAATGCAAAAGGAGCTGCTTTTATAAATGAGGGAGATTTTCACCAATTATTTGTTAGGTGAATTGAGAACAAGCTCGGATAAACATAGACAATTATATGTGGTACAATTTTCAGCACATCATGTTCAACAAAAGCTACTCTTATTTTCTCCCATATATTTATTATCAGTTACTTTTTTTTTTGCTTTGGTCTTCCACAAAATGAAATAGTAACAACAAAGTGCTGCTGTGTTTTGTGTATCCATTTGGTGCTTTATACTGTACTTGGATTTTGACAGTGATGGGACTTTTATATAAATCAGATTCACCCAACTGCAGTAGTCTTCAACTGATGGGCCCTGACCCACTATTGAGTCACAGTCTGATCTAAGGTGGATTGCAGCCACAATGCAAATACTTAAGAAATGGGTCCCAAATGAGGGTTCTCAAATTGAAAATGCTGAAGACCACTGGTTCCAAACAAAAGGAGATGTTATCAGACTACTTGTAGGGTAGTCAAACTTTCAGTGTATAAACAATCCCCTCCTTTCAAGTGCAGGTGCCCAAGGCCAGCATAATTTAGGAAAAATTATTACTATTTCCATTCAACAGCTGACCAAACTAGTGTTCTAATCTGTCTCCTAGCTTTCAAGCCTGCTGAGTTGTCATGGCTATAAAGTTGTGATCCTTAAGTGTGATAAAGGAAGCGTGCTCTCCTTTCCTAACCCATAACCGAGCTATGTTGGGACTGCCAATATCCGTGGTTAGCACAAACCAGGGCTCATTTTATACCGGAATTTGAAATCGGGTTTGAAGCTGGCTTTCAATTCCTGGCCAAAAGCAAACCCTAGATCGTGCTCACCGCAACCAATGTCTGCACCAATATGACTTCCATTAAGGCTGCTATAGTGAAATGGAGTGCTTAAGAGTTGGGGCTGGGCGTTCTCAGTCCATGATCTATTCCTGCTCCCTTCATGGGGTGGTAACATTACATTGGCTTAGGCTCCGAGGTGGCTTATAAAAACACTGTAAATGATCAAGCACTTAATCATAAACTGTCTAGTTCTTAGAAGTATGATAGGTTCTTAATAGCAGGCTTGTGTTATTGTAAATGTCATACTTTGCCATAACACTTGCAAATGGATACACATTCAAAATGAATTGGAATACTTTTAATTTATTGCTTAGTTTCATAGGTTTAATTGTGTAATTACCCTCTGGCAACACTGAAGGGGTGGAATGTTAATACATAAATAGCCTGCAACATTTCCATACAGATGTTTAATTTATCTGCAAACCTGGAGACTGCAATGGATATTGTCACAATTTTTTATGCTTTGCAAATCATAAACTGCTGTCTCCTAACTCTATGTGTGTGATCTGGAAATAAATCCCTTTCAGTTGTAGACTGTGCCTGGCTATATAGTATTGTCAATTCAAGTGAATAATTCTACTACCAATTTTCCTATGAGAATTTGAGAGCAAAATCCTGGTGTTTGTCTTCAGTTTGACACCACTTCTTTAAATTTCATTGTTTCCTCTTATTTCTGTTAGCAGTTTCCCTAGATGAGAAAAAGCTGCATTTTAGGGAAAGAAAATATATTAAATGGTTACTCTTCTGTGACAAAAATATAATGCCCCTGTGTTCAAAGGTCATGTTAATTGCTGTACTATGTAATTATTTTTCTTCATTTCAGCTTAATTTTAATACCTAGGACTAGTATTTTTCGTAGTGTTACATATTTTTGAAGGAAATGCCATGGCCATAAATTCCTTTGAGCATTTTTCAGTTTTGTGCCCTAGTTGCATAATTGTATGCATAAATGACCTTTATTTTTATATGTGACAATTGCTATGGGACCTTTTGTATTTTACTTTTGAATAGGAGAAAAACTATCAACTATCAAACTCACTGAAGCTGAAAGGAGTGTTTTTCCCAGGGCTACATGAGCTTCTGGTCAAGACATTGGCATTTTTCACTACTCTGCCTTTGTTTATTTAATGACTTGTGGAGAACACGAGCATGCCCTTTCCTCTAATGGTCAATTGAGCCCAGTGATTAGATACAGATGCTACCATGAAAAGGGTAAGATTTAGGATAGTGATGGTCATTGTCAGCCTGGAACATTGCATTCTCCCTGACCAAACTGCTTAGGGATTAGTTCCAGGACATCCCTGGTATCATTAGATCGCTCTACCCTTAACTGTCAGTTGCAACTTGAGTCTGGTCTGGGACACCCTAGTTTTTATTTAACAAAATTCATATACTGCTTGATGGTAAATAAGCAGTTTACAATGAAGAGGGAATACTCTTTATCTTCTTAATAATCCCTATTGTATTTAGTCTGTGAATTTCAAGGTGTATAAAAAGACATGGTTTTAAAAGTAATTTAAAAAAATAAATCAGATATAGTAAGTTTCAATTATAACAAGGTGCACTTTTAAAATGAAGTCTTAATTTCATGCAAATATATGTCTTAAAACTGAATTTATATAATTTGAGAGGCTAGTCATCACAAGATTTAGTACTGCTATTTACATAATGCTTATATTATGTCTTGATATTTGATGTCAGAGACTAGAAGGTCATCATAGGCTCTAGAATCCAGGTAATGCTATTCTGTTTCGCACCAGGATTATCCACTGAGCACACATAATCTACTTCTATCTAATGCTTTAGCTCCCTAAACTCTGCAATATGTTCAGTTCCAATAGACAGCCTTTAATTCATGAGTCTACCAGTTAAATGAAATGCACGTTCTTATTGCTTTCCATCTCGTAGACAAACTGTGTTTTCATTCTGTTGTTGTTGTTGTTATTATTATTATTATTACTGTATTATTGTTGTCGTTGTTATTAATTAAATTTATCCAAGGATTACAGGGTGGTTTACAATATAAAAACACAAAAATGCACAACCTAGTAACAAACAAAAACAGTATATAGATTATAGATTATTTAATTAGCTGAAGACCTAAAAGAAGAGGAATGTGTTTTCCTAGTGCCTAAAGATATGTAACGAAGGGGCCAGGCGAGCCTCCCTGGGGAGAGCATTCCACAAACAGGGAGCCACCACAGAAAAGGCCTATTCTTGTGTTGCCGCTCTCTGGACCTCTTGCGGAGAAGGCATATGAAGAAAGGCCTCCTATGATAATCACAGGGTCTGGGTCGATTCATATGCGGAGAGCTGCCCCTTGAGGTTGAACCATGTTGTGGTTGTAAGCCACAAACAGGGAGCCACTGCAGAAAAGGCCTGTTCTCATGTTGCCACCCTCCATACCTATCATGGAGAAGGCACACAAAGAAGGGCCTCAGATGATGATCACAGGGTCCAGGTAGGCTCATATGGACAGAGACAATCCTTGAGCTATTGTGCTCCTGAGCCATTTAAGGCTTTGTGGATCAAAACCAGCACTTTGAATAGGGCCCCAAAACTAACTGGCAGGGCAGTTGGCTCAGGGTTGGCGTTATATGCTCAAACTGTCTTGCCCCGATGAGCAACCTGACCATTGAATTCTGCTCCAGCTGAAGTTTCCAAACTGTCTTTAGATTCTATAGCACAAAAGACAGGTGGGTTGTATGGCCTAAGATAAGATAAAATAGTAAGGCCGAAATGTTAAGCTTATTTAAAGTTCTGATCAGGGCTATCCTAAACTGAGGTGGGTCACCTCAGATGGTAACACCATAGTCGATAACTTTATATTTTTGAAGGGATTTGGATTCCCTGCCCCATCACCAAAATGTATTGGGCTGTTTCTAGTCCTAACTGCATTTGCAAGGCATTATGAATCCCAAATAATTTTGGTTGACTTTACCTTTTTTTTAACTTTCTTTTATGCGTGTTGAAGTGGGTTGATCAGATCTGTGGTACAGTGTTATAGCATACTTTGTGGCTGGATTTTTAAATATTTTCCCTAATAAATTTATTTCGGTTTTGTTGGCAATAATGTTGCACTGATATTTTGAGAATTATTTTCTGAAGTCATTAGAAATAATTTAGAATCAAAATGTGTGTAAGTTTTTTTTGGTTTTTTTTTGTAATCTTTCATTTATTTCCAGTTAGTGTAAGATGTGTAATCTGGTTGTGTGGCAAAACTAGAAGAATAAGCAGAAGCTCTTGCAATGGGCTTCCGCTGGTAGAGCTGGTTAGAGGAATCCTGCCCTAAATGGGCATGTATTCTCTTCTTTGAGTTTATTAGCATTAAGAAAATGTGATTGGATGTTAGCTGAAATTTTTGTTTCACATACAACAGTTATTGTGACCACCATGACACCACAGTGCGCAACTTACATAGCGTAAATGTGTTGTCAGGTGCGTCATTTAAACTTGTCTCGGCACTGTCACAATTTCTTCCCTACAACTTCAATGATTATTTATTTGTACTATACCATCACTGTAGGGTACCTTGCAGAGCTTTACAAAAAGAGAGTTTCCTGACCTCCTGAAGCTTACAGTTTGAATACAAGTCATAGAATTGTAGAGTTGGAAGGGTCCAGGAGGGTCATCTACTCCAACTCCCTGCAGTGCAGGAATCTTTTGCCCAACATGGGGCTCGAACCCATGGCCCTGAGATTAAGAGTCTCATGCTGTACTGATTGAGCCTCAGACAAGGGGAGGCTGAACATACATTGTTGCTTTTAGGGAGTGGGTGGAGCTGTGGTCTAAAGTCCTAAACCACTGAGCTTGGGCTTGCCAATCGGAAGGTCAACTCTGTGTGATGGGGTGAGCTCCCATTGCTCTATCCCAGTTCCTGCCAACCTAGCAGTTTAAAAGCACACCATTGCAAGTAGATAAATAGGTACCGCTGCGGTGGGAAGGTAAATGGCATTTCTGTGCGCTCTGGCTTCCGTCACGGTGTCCCGCGGTTTAGTCATGCTGGCCACATGACCCAGAAAGCTGTCCGTGGACAAACGCCAGCTCCTTCGCCCTGAAAAACGACATGAGTGCCACCCCATAGTCGCCTTTGACTGGACATAACCGTCCAGGGGTCCTTTAGCTTTACCTTTTATTGCTTCTCGAAGAAAGATAATAGAATTACACATTAATATGTTTAGTAGGTAGATAGCTTTTAATGGTTATTTATCAGTAACCTCAACTTGGGCGTAACTTCGAAAAGTGTAGAAACATATTTTTCTACTAGCCCCCCACCCCACTTTATCGAAGCATGTAGAAGCTTCTATCCGCTTCCACTCAGGTATATCAGGCCCTTCCTGATTGGCTCCTGCTAGCTGGGCAGATGCCACCATGGGAAATATTCCAAAAGAAAGCACAGAAGCAGAAAGAGACACCAAAGTACTGGTGTCAGTTGGGAACGTCATTATTTTTGCATTTGAGAGAGGGCAGTTGAAAAGGAAATTTGTCGGCCAAGTGATGGGCAATATGATCTTTGAATATGAAAACCTCTTCTTAAAAAAGGAGACTTCACTGACATTTGTCTTCCCTGCAGATGATGATAAATGTTCACTTGAAAAGAAACAAATCATTAGGGTGTTGTTACAACCAAGTGTTGGGACGCGGGTGGCGCTGTGGGTAAAACCTCAGCGCCTAGGACTTGCCGATCGCATGGTTGGCGGTTCGAATCCCCGCGGCGGGGTGAGCTCCCGTCGTTCGGTCCCAGCTCCTGCCCACCTAGCAGTTCGAAAGCACCCTTAAGTGCAAGTAGATAAATAGGTACCGCTTTATAGCGGGAAGGTAAACGGCGTTTCCGTGTGCTGCGCTGGTGCAGGCTCGCCAGAGCAGCTTCGTCACGCTGGCCACGTGACCCGGAAGTGTCCTCGGACAGCGCTGGCCCCCGGCCTCTTAAGCGAGATGGGCGCGCAACCCCAGAGTCGGTCACGACTGGCCCGTACGGGCAGGGGTACCTTTACCTTTACCTTACAACCAAGTGTTAATTCCTGCGGGTTTTGCAACATCCCACATGGACAACCTGCAAGTGTCATGTGCAGGATCTTGCTGTGGAGTCATTTGTTTGTATGTGTCTGTCAGTAAATTGCCACATGCTATGTTGGTCACAGATCATTTGTTGGAAAACTGTCTTTCCACAGTTTCCAATAAACATTACCATAAGTTTGATATTTGCCCATGAAACATTAGCTGTTTATGTATCTGACTGCAGATAGAGAATAAATTTACAGATAACTTCTTGAGGTTGCAGAACTGTTGTGTTGGACACACATGTTAAAGTACAGTAAAAATGCAGCATTTAAACTTTCTGTGGCATACTTCTTGGTTATTTTTGTAGGGTTGGTTCCTGCTAGCTAGGGAAGATCATTCCTGTTAACAAATAGTTTAATGTTAATCCCAGTTCAAGTATTATTAGCTAACACATGAAATGCTATGTAAGAAGCTTACAGATTTTATGTTGCTCAGTATTGTACTATCCGTTTATTTTTGATAATTGGCTTCCATAAAACTTTGTTGTGAAACAAGCAGCTTTTATCATTCTTGTAAGAATTTATATGGCTCGCTGTCAGTGGTGATCTGGTAACATGCTGTATTCTTTTACCATTGGAATTAGCTTTATTTTCTACAAGTTTGGTAGAAAGTGTTTAAATGGTGATTCCTTGACAAGCTTATCATCAGCCTGGCATATTCAGGAATGGCAAGGAGACTTCTCTTGTTTCTCTGAGATCTTTCCCCTGTTGTACTTCGCTGTGTTTCATGGAGATTCTTCTCCCTTAGTCCAACATTTACCTTCTATTGCAACTTTGGTGCCTTCCAGGCTCCTTTCTTTTATTTAACTCTGCTTCCTTAGATAATGCTCTAAAAATGAGAGTTGGAAGGTACATCCGGTTCAATTTCCTGCCAATGCGGGAAGCTCTCTACAGCAGGGGAAGGGAACCTCTTGACTCAGCAGGCCAGAACCTCATCTGGCCCCATCCCCATAGAGTAATTTTGGCTGGCGGTGCTTTGTCCAGATCTTAGACAAGTCAATTGAAAAATAATGTTTTCTTTTCCAGAGAAAATGCTTTTCGTAGTGTTCGTAACCAAGACAACACACCTGTCAAAGTCACAGCACAGCACTTCCCAATCAAGCTGGTTATTGGGAGCTTGGGAACTTCAGTGCATGGAGCTTTGCATTGGATAATTTTACTGATCAGATAACTCATATTGGCCCTTGGGTAAAGACCAATGGAAGGGGGCACTATTGACTGGCCAGTAAAATATACAAGTCCAGAGGCAAAGAAGGATAAAGACAAGAAGGCAGAGATGGCAAAAGATTAGTGGAGTTGAGGTGTGCTAAGTGGTCATGAGATGAAGACTCATAGCTTAAAGTAATCCTAGAAGAGGAAGGACCAGAAGGAAGCAGCTGGAGGTAGATACTTCTGGAAGATATGTGCTTAAGGAAGCAGATAGGCTCCAGCAAACAGGCAGCGTGGAATCTTTAAGATGGTGGTTCTGACTCAAGTGAGAACTTTTTCCTCAGAAAAGCATATTTGCTGTGACTGAACGTTTATCAGGCCAGTAAGAAGCAAAGTGAGAGAAGATATCATTGTAGATGCTGGTCTTGCTTTGTGACTGCTGGCTGGTATAGGGAGGATGGGGAATTAAGTCCTGAATTTAAATAGAAGGTTAAATAGGGAAAGGAGATTCCATATTCCGTTCCACATTCCATGGCAATTATGCCAAGTTTAAATAAGGCATAACATTTGAAGTTGTAACGTTTTATCTTTAATAATATATTAACCTGCAGTTGTTAAATTAATCTAATTTCTGCATATATTAATGCCTGTAATATATTATTTTGTTCTTGTTTAAGCTCTTAGTTGATCAGATCTTATGCCCACGCTTTGTTTTATGCTATAAAAAGGTGAAATCCAGGAAGTGGTTATTGTGGTTGTAATGGGTGTTTATCAGCAGGGCTAAGTTAAAGATGCATATATTTTCCCCCACACTATTCATGGTTGCCTTTCTTCTACAGCCTATGTAAGCTTTTCAGTCATTTGGTACGCTTAGTGTGCTGTGACATCTAGAGTTTTTGCCTCCAGGAGGACATTCTAAATCAAAGTCCCAGGACTATTTTAGCTTTCAGTAATCTGTGCAAGAGAAGAGCTAGCTTTAGAGCAAATAGCTGGTGTAATCTCAGACCCCTAGAGCATTTGCTGATGGCAGGTCTAATAATTTGAGAATTGGGAAGAGAGGTAGATTTTATTTCCCCCCCTGAAAACTGGTTATCTTGGGAAATCAAATCTAAGAAAATGTGAGGAACTAAGCAATAGTGAGCTTTTCGCTATTCTTGGTCCTGCTGTCCATATAGTGGTCTTTAAGAATTCTTTAGCCTAGTTTTGCCATTTATATATCCAAGACAGACATGCAGAGATAAGTGTTATTTGGACCTGTGCGTTCTTCCTTTTTTGCCAATGCCTGTCCTTTAAATAGTGGCCAGAAAATGCTATAATGGATGGTATGGCATCTCCAGTACCAATACAATTATCATAGTTTCACTCCGAAGAGAGAATTTCCTTGGTGATACTCAGTGGTTTTTGAGTGCAGCAATGCAATACATTTTCCATTTCTGTATTTTATTATCATTATCTAGGTGATAGGAGGACACACCTCATCCTATAGTTTGTGGATTTTTGTTTGAAAATGTTATGTTATTTGATTTGAGGTATGGACAAAAGCTTGCTGTTAAATTCTTTAAAGTTTACCTTGACTCCCTGGATTCCAGCATATATTCTGATTGTTAGGTTGTAGTAGCTGTCAGATGGAAACTGCAGACTGTCCTGCCTTTTATCTTCTTCATGCCATAAGTCGCTTAGATGAGGAATTTGGAGGTTATATTATTTTGAGAGCATTTTACTTTACACAGTTTCTGACATTATCCTTCTCTGTAGAAGAGGGTTACATTAATCACAAACTTAAGTAGGTATTTGCAAGTAGAATTCTTGCTTTGTTTCCAGCTCTTTTGTACTGCTGGTACATGTGCTTGGATAAAGCGGCATGCGTTCATTTCCCAAAATATCCTAAGTGTTTCATGTTCAATTACATTAGGAACTAAACAGTGCATTCTTGTCAGACTAGGCTTTTCCTTTTGAATTCCCTACATTGCTTTATTTCCTTTTGTACCTCAAAAGAATTCACATCACCCTGACACAAATCAGTAATAATTCTGTAGCACATCTGATTCCAGTACACCTTATTAAAGGGACAATCAGCAATGGTTGGAGATCCTGATACTCTTCAGCCTTAAGAACTTAAAACCAAAACAAAACTGTTATCATAAGACTCCTTTAGCATACAGAACAGAAAACGTTTCAGTGTAATATATACAAAAGTTCTAGTTATGAAGTTTGTCAAAGCATACTTTATATTTAATCATCGGTCCTTTGAGTTATGGTTGTTGGCTGCATGATGAAAACAAATGATATTGACATTTCAAATGATATTGAAGGCCTCTATATTGATAAAATTTACAAGCAAAGCATGATGCTTGGGTTACCAGTTAGGTGGAATGACTTAGTAGTCTGAAATGTGGTTTGGTCATCAAATATACATGTTTTAAAATTAAACTTAAACTGTAGGTGTCAAGCATGTAAGCTCATTTGTGCATGAAAATGGTGTGCACACTTCAGCTTTATGATGAATTGGAAAGTGCATATTTTCAAGTTACATAATTTAATATGGTATAGAAAATAAGTGAGTATAGAAGTATCCTTTAACATATTTCGGGGGGAGGGAATTATCCAGTAAAGTGCTCAAAACTTATATCTATCTACATGATTTTATTTTCTCTTCATAGCCATAGATTGTAAGCAAAAAAAATCAAGATCAAGATCTGGGAGCAAGAAAAAAATTCTGCCATTACCTCATGGTGCTGATGAAGTTTACATACTCCGGTGCAGGTATATGTGGAACTGCATTGAGTCATTTGGAGTAGCTATAGCTTGTTTCTGATTTGTAGAAATGCATCTTGTATTTGAGTGTCATGTATGTACAAAAATCTAGTGACCTGTGGACCTAATGATGCTCACTATGCATGAGTGTAGCCGGTAGCTAATAAATGAAAGTACTTAACTAACTGACCAGTTGTGTTGCTGATAATTCGAGAAGTCGGTTGAGGGAAATGGGAAGTCATTTTGGGGGAAACTGAGAAAGCCTTATTTTCCTTGATTCCCCCCTCCCCCAGGCCCTCATTACTTCCCTGCATCCCAGCAAATAAGTCACTGCTAATGAAAGTGAATATTAGCAAGGCTTCCCCACACTCTAGGAATTTAAGGAAGGGTAACCTAATTTGAGGAGAGGTACAGTTGTACCTTGTTTCGCAACTGGGATCTGTTCCGGAGCCCCGGACACTAGACGAAAAGGACCCACAACAAAGCGTGTGCGTGGAGTGGTTTGTGCTTCTGCGCATGCGTGAAGTGCGATTTAGTGCTTCTGCGCATGTGCGAGCAGCAAACCTGAAAGCAACCCGTTCTAGTATTTCTGGGTTTGCCATGGGCAGTCGTTGAAATGGACGCTCAGTGAGGCAGACTCAAAACAAGGTACCACTGTACTACCTAATTAGGACTTTACTTAGGTAATAACTAGTATCTTGAACTGGACCGAGAACCTCACATTAGATTATTTACCTTCCCTCTATTATGAGTTGGGACTCACAAAACACTTTGCAGTAGTAGCATATAGCAGTTGGCTTAAAAGATAAGACCATTCCTGCCCTCATGCTTATCGTCTAAAAAACACAACACAAATTGAAGAAAGATGGGGAGGGAAGAAGAAAACCAGACGCCAGTTTTTAATTCACAGTTGTAGTTTTAGAATTATAGGTATAATTTGTGATATAAAGTTGTATGCTTCTGTTTTTTGTATCTAGAGTTACTTATTCCTGGGATAAACGATAGCTGAATTAACACCCAGGAATTTTTTTAAATCATCAGTGATATGCATACTCAGGCTTAGTTTTTTACTGCACTTAACACAAAGTTCAATTACAATGCTAATGTGCTTTATTTGGATGATTTTAAAAACTGTGCAGGTTTTGTGGTCTGGTGTTTCGGGGGCCCTTGTCTGTTCAAGAAGACTGGATAAAACACCTTCAGCGCCACATTGTCAACGCAAATCTTCCTCGAACTGGGGCTGGCATGGTGGAAGTAACATCACTGCTTAAAAAACCTGCCTCAATTACTGAAACTTCATTTTCTTTCCTGATGGCGGAAGCAGCTTCATAGAACGTTGGAAACACTTCATATTGCATTGAATGAACATTTTAAATATCTTTGTTAGTTTTTTTAAGGTTAAAATAAATTATCTGTTTATAAAATCTGAAGCCGGAAAATGGGGAGAAGAGTGACAGTTAACATCCAAACAATTGAGTACTTAAAACAGTTACCGTAAGTAGTCTTTATATTTTATATAGGGTGGAAGATGTGTTTTTAAAGTTTACTATGTTTTTTGTCAATTACTGTGTTCACTATTGATACAAGCCCATTACACGTAAGCAGCCGTTTTTAAAATGTTGCACATGGGTACTTAAGATAGGTTTTATGAAATGAAAACATTCTTTACAGTGTTACCAGAATCAATGCTCTGTTTATTAAACAAAAAACCCTTGCTTAGTAAAATATTATATTTTGTTTGTATGTATGTAGTGTTTTGTACAATACCAAGAAATGCTAATGCAATTAACTCAATTTAGGGCATTAAATATCATGTACTTCATAGTTCAAGAGACTGTTCCATTCAAATAGGGCAATTAGTACTACTCTTATCTAGCTGTGTAAGTGTTTTTTTTAATCACACGAGACTCTTTTGTACTAAAAGTAGAGGGAAACTTGTTAAACAAATTTCTAAAAATAATGTACATAGTACTGGAAACTATTTGTGGTAAGGAAATAATATTCTTTACTTCACTTGCATTTCTCACTGACAATAAAATGGTGCATCCATGCTACCTCCAACTTTGTCAGCAGTAATGGTATTTCCCCTTTCCATTTGTTGCATCAAGCACTCACAGTTTTCTTTATTTTTAATCACAATTTTGTTAAGTCTTTCTTTTTATGCCTAGCTTAAGTATGAGTTGCTTACAGGACATTTTTGACATTTTTTGCCACCTCTTTTATTTAATACTGTAGAAATGTACTAAGAAGCATTGCTCACTACATGACTTAGCCTAGACTTTTCATTTTACAATTGTTTAAAGAAATCATAACACCCTTGGACAAAAAAAAAATAAGTTTCTACATATGAAGAGAATGTTTACAATTTGAATTTTAAAACTTGTTTTGGATGTAATTATATGTATGAAAACTGTAACACTATGCTCATGCTAAGGACCTATTTACAGAATTATTGAAATAAATGTGCTGTGAGGATGGAAAAAAATATGGTGCAGGTGTCTTGGTCAAAATAAGTATTGGCTGTTCACAAAAATGAAATGTCACGTTTCAACAAATAAGCAAATTCCTCTTTTGAAAACTGGTTCTGTAATGCAAGTAATGTTTCATTTTATTCATGTAGGGTGACTAATACTGTAGTTAAGCCAAGGAAAAGCATTGATATTGTTTTGCGTGTAAATAAAGTTATAAAAGCAGTTGAGATGTGAGGAGTATTTTGGTGGAGAATATACATACCTCACAGCCAGTGAAATTGCTTTCCTCATGGTATATCTCCTTACCAAGAATATATCTCTCTAAATAAAAAGGTTAAAAGAAAACATTAAAATGTCTGTAATGTGAACTATTATTTTACATTATGTATGGCATACAAAGTTGATTTTTCTCTTTTGATCTTTTGAAGGATCTCAAGCAAAGTACCTGTGATGAAAATGTAATATTAGTTCCCAGGTAAAATGCATCTGACTTAAATGTATAGAAACTTCTATAATTTGGCAATGGTTTCAAGAGCCGGCAAGGAAAACCAGTGGAAAATATAGTGCAGGCAAGTCTTTTGTGTGTATGTATAGAGACGGAAGATATTCATACCAGGATCTCCTTTACTGTACATTGTTGGTATTACTTAACAAAAAAAAGTCTTATGCTTAAGCAAATGGAAACCACAACTGCACCCAGGGAGGGAAATGGTTTTTGCCTCCTCAAAACTGAGTTTCCTAATGCAGCCAATCCCAGTTGATCATCGAAGCTGTACTACAAAGCCTGGTCAATCAGCTGACGGTTGGTTGTGCAGGGCTCTCTTCAAGCAGTGACAATCAGCTGGTCATCAGCTGGTAGCCAGGGCTTCAATACTGCAGAGGGCTTTGCAGATATGTTGATCAACTGATGGGCTGTTCCACCAAAACGCCTTTGGGCTCAGCCATGACTCTAACTATAAGGCAGGTGAGTGTGGCTTGGCCAAAATGGCCTCATAGACCCAATGGGGAGGCCTGGTGGACTTAATTAAATCCATGGGCTGGGAGGTCCCTCACCCCTGTTCTCGAAGGGAGTGCTTCATCAAAACTGTATAACATTTGGTGTTTCTTTTAGAAATGGCAGAAGTAAAGTTAAAATGTTCTACCTGCTTATTCAGTAGCCTAAAAATCCATAATTCATACTCAATCCTGCAGTGATTCTTGCACTTGAAAGCTTGAGGAATGTCAGACTAAGGTTCATTCTCTACTTTTCAACCATCTGTGGCCCAAAGAAAGAACTGCAGGGAGACTTGCTTTTTGCAGGTCTGAGCAATTAGGAAACCTGCTCTCGCTGACTGCAGACCACCTTTGCTGTGCTCTCCTCAACCATCTCTGTCACATACAAAAAATATTCCTCCTATTTAGCTGAGAGACTATGACTTGCCGAGTTGTCAAACCAGGATTCTTAACCCAAGACTTCCTAGCCAAAGCCCAACATACTACACAACTGTACACTTTTATCTTGAGCTTTTAATCTAAAGGTGGGTGGTGCAGTATAAAGTTATTGTGCATTGCGACTGGCCTCTACTTTGTACCTATCATTTTCTTTCTAAGTAGATGGGAAATGCGTGACCCTCCAGATGTTGCTGGACCACAACTCCCATCATCCCTTGCCATAGACCATGCTGGTTGAGACTGATGGGCGTTGGAGTCTAACAACAGCTGGAGACCCATAGGTCCCTCTTCTCAGCCTTTCTGCTTCTTATCTGCAGCTTTGCCACTCTCAATTTACCCATGGTTATTCCCCAACCTCAGTCCTATTCCTATGGACTCACAGCAGACTCAACCTTCGTTTGTTCATTGGAATAAATGTTTTTCTAGAATGGTGACTTAACAAATAATGAGATCTGCCCCCAGCCCAATCCTTTGTGGGGGGCATTGCATGGGCTACACAACAAGGAGTGTCCATATTTGAATTTTTATATAACTGCAGTTGTTCTCTACTTATGAAATGGCTACTTGATATTATTCAAATATTTGAATAAACATACCCAGTGAGTTGAGATGATATGCTGGTAGAGTGATGGATTTATTTCTTTAAGATGCTACATCTTATGGACAAGTCTTCAACAATCATTGCCTTTCTGATCAGTGTCAAACCTAGAGTAATTGTTCCTATTGTAACATCTCTCTTGTGCTGTGGATTTAAAAAGAAGCAAAGACCCAGAGTTCTACAGAACATCACAACATAAAGCATGCATCATAGAGCAGGTATGCATCACTTTAGATACACTATTTGCAGGACCTGAATTATTGATTCCTCAACACTCCAAAGCTTTAAGATGTACAATAGGGCCAACTAATGTTCAATTATATCTTTCGCATTTGCAAAATGCTGTGCTGAAGAAAATGGGAATAAAAGTGGAAACATTATATGCTTCTCTTTCTGTACTGGAATCATATCGCCATTGTGATTGTTCTTTGGATATTTAAGGTAGCTGCATTTATTAGTATTCCTGCTGTATCTCTTAAAACGGGTACAGACACAAATCATGGGTCTATATGTCTGTGAAACGCAACCCAGTGCAACTTGTTTATACCTTAAGTTTGTACCGCAGTACCAAATGCTACAATCTGATTTTCTCTCATTTCATTCGGACTGGAGTGTAAAAAGAATGACTGACAAAGTAGAGTGTGAGTTAACAAGATTAAACTGTATTTTACCTGAGTAAGGATCTGCATGTCAACATAGTATATATACCACTCACTCGAAATGCCTTTCATCTGCCTCTTTCACAAAGGAGCCAATTATATCATGTAAAAATAATGTATAAAATAGCATATGTACTTTCTAGGATGTAGAAACTGCTGGGAACACAGCTCAAAACTGTGTAAGAAACGAGAATGGCATCAGAAAATAAGGTTCTGTGTGCATTCTTATTACCTCGGAGCCTCTTCAATTTGTCATCATTCTTTGCTGAATAGAGTTCACATCTTCTTGTTAATGTTCTTGAATGTGAATGCTGAAAGTTGCTGGAAGATGCTGGCTACCAATAGAGTTGACAAAAGTGTAAAATTGTAGCAACAACTCTTAATAGCAGATAAGCAGAATTTCTTGTTTACGTATTTATTTTTGAGTAAGCCTGTGAGTGGGAATTCTCTCTCTTCTGCGTGTAGCTTCAAATATGTTGGTTGACATGATTTAAGAGAAGAGGAACCAGGGCAATAAAGGATTGGAGCATCTGTCTTGCCCTGGACAAAGCATCAGGCTTGAGTGTTTCTCCTTAAGTGCACAGCTGGTTAGGTTCCATAATGAAGGTAAGATGCTTTTCTTCTTTTTTTTACAACTCCTGTACAAACTTGCAGGGAGTTCTGGTTAATAATGAATGCAGTAGATGTCACCAAACTTTCCATACAAAATTTAAAGGCAGTTTTCTGATTTTAACTGGAACCGTGCCAGATAAGCTCAAACTACCACCACTAGAAGCAAACAAATTAAGCAACCTGCAGGCTAACATGATTTCTTCACAGTATGGAGCAGATGGCAAATGATTTAATTAGGGGTGAAAAAAGTGCTGGCTTTACATTTCAGTTTGCTTTAAGGTCTCGTTCTATGGAGCAGACTATGGATGGTGTGATGTCAAACTAATGCATTTTTAGACCTTGGTGTTGAGTAAAAAGAAAATGGGAAGACATGTCTCTAAAAAATAAAAAAATCTGCCCAAAGGAGCAATTATGTAGTTTAGTCTAGACTGTTTGCCACCTTAGTAAGTTTTATAGAAGTTAGTTGACACCATGGTTTATAAGCCATCTGAATTCACAAGGATCTGCTGCTTCCACAGTTCTGTAAGAGTTCTTGGAGCAAAATTTTCAAAGCTATTACAC